TGTGTGTGTGTGTGTGTGTGTGTGTGTGTATGTGTGTTTGTGTGTGTGTGTGTGTATGTGTGTGTATATATGTATGTATGTGTGCATGTATGTGTGAGTGTGTGTGTGTGTGTGTGTGTGTGTGTATGTGTGTGTATGTATGTATGTATGTATGTGTGCATGTATGTGTGAGTGTGTGTGTGTGTGTGTGTGTGTGTGTATGTGTGTGTATGTATGTATGTATGTATGTGTGCATGTATGTGTGAGTGTGTGTGTGTGTGTGTATGTGTGTGTGTATGTGTGTGTGTCTGTGTGCCCATTTTTGTGTGTTCCACCATCTACATGTCACATCTTCAATAACCAAACACCTTTAGATCTACGTGTGTATATTAAGATATTATTATACTATGTAATCTTTGTGTGTGTGTGTGTGTGTGTGTGTGTGTGTGTGTGTGGTCCGCCAGGAGGCCTGGTGAAGCGAGTAGTCGGCGGTCAGCAGTATGACGACGGAGACTACCCGTACAGCGTGTCCCTGTGGTACATGGGCGAGAACAACATCTTCACCAACAACACACCGGGCATGCACCACACCTGCGGGGGGTCGCTCATTGACCCTGAGTGGGTGCTCACCTCGGCTCTGTGCTTCGAGTGAGGCTCATGTTGTTTTGTTTGTGTTTGTTAGTCAGTTTTCCCATGTTTGTTGAGTTTTTGTTTTTTTAATTCTGCTAATATAGATTAGCACAGAATTTTCTGTAGAGTTGGAATTTGCGCTACACAAAATAATGTTATCTATTATTATTATTACTAGTAAAAGTACCCGTTCTACGAACGGAATAATAATGAAGAAGTATTAGGAAAGTTAAGAAGAGGAAAAAGACTGAAATCAGGAAAGAAATAAAACATAAATATTTTACCTTGAATTTATCCATGTAGCGCCCCCTCTTGACTACTTCTAGGGGTAAGACTTCTTCCCCCTCTTCGAAGGCGTGGCATTTTCTCCTAAAGTTCCAGCCCTATCACTTTTTTTTTAAAAAGAGTTAGGCCTACATGCCAATTGTTGCTTCCTAGAAGAACATGATGTAGATTCTAGATCTAGCCTAGATCTCGATGGATTATAAAGACATAGGTCAATAATTGAAAGAAGGAGCCTAGGTCCATAGATAGATCTAAGTTTAGAAATTCACTTTTTTAACAACAGACAGACGTCACAGGCTCTATTCTAGATCTATTCACTGCAGGAAAAATCCACTTTCAAGAATAATTTCATGATTCTTGATTTCGATCTAGATTCACCGACAGCCTAGTTCTAGACTCTAGATCTATTCTCACAGCAGGAAAAAAAAATCCACGTTCAATACTTTCATCCTTCTTGACTTTATCTAAGATTCACATATAGATCTAGCCTAGATCTAGATCTTAGAATCTATAATGCACAGCAAGAAAAATCCACTTTCAATATTCAATAGGTTATCTAAATATCGCAAATCTAGATTCTACTTTCATTTCATGATTCTTCTTGATCTCGAATTAGATATCGATTCTAGTTCTAGATTCTAGATCTCATCTACACACTGTGCACAAAATACACCCATCCTTGGGCGTGCATGCCAAATCCACTGCAGGAGAAATCTACTTTCAATACTTTCATGATTTTTTATCTTGATCTATATATTAGATCTAGACATACACACACTTGGGACTACACGCAGGGTATAAACCGGGCTACGATTGGCTGAACCTTTGACTTTGACCCATGAATACATTAAGTAGGCCTACGGTAGGCTACTCTTGGCGCTTTCGACGACACCCTCCCTGTCACTCTCACCTCCCTCCCTCTGCAGTGCTTTCTAGACTCCTCTATCTCCCCCCCTCTCTTTCTCTCTCTCTCTCTCTCTCTCTCT